GGGGGCTAGGGGTGGGCACCTCTCACTGGCTGCCCCTCGCCCACTCAGACACTTTGTGAATCTGCCGGTCCACCGAGATGGAGGTGCGCAGTGTGCCCAGGGAGTTCTCGATGTTGGGGGGCTCCGGCCCGCAGCCCCCTTTCCGGCACAGCCCCCTGTACACCTCCCAGGACTTCTTGCGGAAGCGCTTGCCCACAATCACGTAGACCAGAGGGTTGAGGCAGCTGTTGCAGTAGCCCAGGTAGGAGCCGATCTGCGTGAAGACGTCGATGATGTGCTCGTCCCGGCAGCTGGAGATGAGCCCCAGTCGGTGCAGGGTGTCCAGGAAGGTGCTGACCTGGAAGGGCAGCCAGCAGACCACGAAGAGCAGCAACACCGCCAGGACCAGCATGGTGGCCTTCCGCTCCGTCTGCACCTCCTTGAACTTCTGCATCTCGTTGTTACGCAGCACGCGCAGGATGTGCACGGTGCAGCAGCTGATGATGCTCAGGGGCAGCAGGAAGCCCACGAGGTTCAAGAGCACGTTGGTGCACACCACCCAGGTGGTAGACGGGTAGGCGATGATGCAAGCGGTGACGTTGTGGCCCTCCTCGTTGTAGTCCCTCATGGTGCGGAACATCAGCATGGGCGAGCTCAGCAGCAGGGTGCAGCCCCACACCACCAGGCTGTAGAGCTTGGCCCAGCGCACGCCGCGCAGGCGGCCCATGGACATGGTCTTGACCAGCGCCAGGTAGCGGTCGATGCTCACCAGCATCAGGAAGCAGATGCTGCTGTACAGGTTCATGTAGATCACGGTGTTGACCACGCGGCACAGGACCTCGCCGAAGAGCCAGTCAAAGTTGTTGGCCAAGGTGATGGCCCAGAAGGGCAGCCCGCAGGCCAGGATTAGGTCAGCCACCGCCAGGTTGCCCAGGTAGATCTCTGCCACCGTGCAGCTGCTCTTGTGCAGGCAGAAGACGCTGAGGACGAAGATGTTTTCGAGCGAGGCCAGGATGAAGATGGCCCAGAGGAAGGGGGCCTGGTTGCTGTTGAACCAGCTCCACCACTCCGACTGGGGGCAGTCTTTGCTTGGGGCGAGGGTCGCGTTCAGAGCGGGCACCAGGACTGTCGAGGTGACGTTGAGCATCCCGGCACTGAAAGAAAGTGGGGAAGAGGCTGTTTACACGCCCCGGCTGGCATGGTAGGAGAGGGGAATGAGGGCGCCCTGTTCGACAATTTCAACCCACCCAGCAGCTCCGGGGAAGAAAGGCCTGGTGAGCTATGTTCACACATAAAAACGAAGGACCCCCACCCTACCTCCAAGAAGATCTGCTCCAAACCCGGGGGGAGGGGGGGGGCTGTGAGCTCGAATGGTTCCTTTCTTTAGTTTTTCAATGACGCAGCTGCAGCTTGTGGAAGGTGAAGCCAGAATGGAGTTCGTGCCCTTTTCTGGGGTCAGGTGACCTGGCCTGCCTGCCTCCCTGGGGCTTTAGAGACTCCCCCCACCCTTCTGCTCACTGAGCCTAAACTGGAACCCCAGGTTCCTAAATCAGGGCTCCCCTGGCTGCTTCTGCGACCAGGGCCCCCTCATCAGTGCTAACAGTCATGGGATTGGACCCGGGTCTCCCTGCAGCTCTCGGTGTGGGAAACGGAGAACAGGAAGGAAGAGTGTGCTGATGAAGCCTTTAAGCTCATGTTGTAAGAAGCCTGGTAGGCTGGGTTTCTGGGGTGGAGAGAGGCCGTCACCCTTGTGAGTGGGAGGTGAGTCCCAATCACATTCTCATAATTAATATTGTTCCCCACTATATCCTCCCATTATAGTGCTGCCTTAAATTTACCTCTTACAGACACATGGCTGATTGCTATGTAGCCGGTAGCTTTAACTATAGGAGCAGACATGTGCTATTGCCTTCTGGACTCTGAAGACAGCCACTCCCCCTTTACCTGCCCTGAGCATTGGTGTTAGGTTACTCCTCCTATGTACTCAGGGACCTTTAGGGTTAGGGTACAGCCCATTTTGTTATGTCTGTGGTTACCTGTAATTGGGGGGCTTGCATGACCCGAGAATACATAAGCTGTTGTTGGAAATATAATCTCTCTCTCTGCGTGGACCTGAAGTCATAGAGGCAGAGGTGAGCCCTTGCATGCTCTATCTTGTCTGATGTTTCTTTAATTTACCCCCCAAATACACAACCGCCCCCTTGGACCCATTCAGTTGTGGGGGCTGATATCGCACATCTTGGGATGGAGGCCACCCCAACACCTCCTTCCTATGACATGGACCTCTCCCAAAGGGGCTGCCATCATGAGACTGGGTCCACGTGAGCTCTTCACTACCGAAAAAAGGAGCCATGCAAGACAGAGAGATGCCAGCCAGGCCCCAGGGCCAGGGTCCAGCTGCCACCCTGTCTGCTAGGAGCCCAGATGTCTCCTGACAAATGTGAGCATCCTGTGTCCCTTCGGGCCCATTGATGATGGTCAGGATGGTGGAGCCAGACGGGCCTCCTGGGTTCAAAGGCCGGGCCCTTCGTTCATGAGCTGTGTGACCTGTGGAGGGAGTTACTTTACCTCTCTGGACCTCACTAGCCTACCTTGTCAAAGGAGAATGATAAAAATCTACCTCTCAGGGTCAGGGTGGGACTAGAGACAATGTCCATGAAGCCCCCCAGTGGCACTCGTTCCAACACATACTCGACACTATCTGGATAATGATTTATGTCTGTTAGCCTCCTAGAAAAGGGGTGTTCAATGCCGGCGAGGCTTGCTGAGTTCTTGCTCCTGTGTCAGAGATACCGAGAAGGATGATGGGTGGACTGACAGATCCAGGCAGAGCACCGGTAAAGGCAGAGAGAGGGGCGGAAGGTGCCCAGTGGAATCCAAGAGGCTGGCCCCCTCACTTAGGCTGAGTGGAGGGTGTGAGGCGGGTGCTCGGCGCGGAGGATGGGGAACTTGAATACCAGGAAGAGGAGGTGGTGCTTGATTCTATGGGCAACCAGGAGCCATTCGAGGCTCATGACCCAGCGTACGGCACTTTCAGAGGCTGCTCTGTTCGCCTCTGCCTCTGGATTGAACACGCGGTCACACCTTCTTTCCCTTCTCTCCCCTGGAGGGGGTGCTTGGGTGCTGAGGGTGGTCTAGGAGACTAGGCAAGATCAAATGCATGGGGCCAGGAGGCACCAGGAAGCCTGATAGTCCTCAGGGACCCCCAAGCAGTCCCCTTGGTCTGGCCCTGGGCCCTCTTTTCTGCAGCTCCAGAGACCCACAGACTCAGTGCCTCAGTCCCCTGTCATTGTCCCACTCATCACAGACAGGACTTGATACCCAGCCCCACACGCCATTGGCTCATTTCCCAGCAGGATGGCCCTCATGACCTAGGCTGGCTCTTTGGAGCCCTAGAACCATCAGGAGGTGACTTGGGGAGTACAGAATTGGGGGTGAGAGAGCTCTATGGACCCCAGCCGGGATGGTCATCAGTCAACTCCAGAGGAGACCTATGCCACAGGCTGAGCTCAGCGTCTCTCAGCTGGTCAGCTTCCTAGCCCTCTGACTCTGTGACCCCCACTCCCCCCAACACCACAATTCTCTCCTCAGCAGGTACTGGCCGTCCATTAGAAGCTACCAGTGTGTTGGAGACATCCTGTCTCTCCAGGGGACCCTGGGTTCCTGTCTGATCAGCTGAGTGGAGATTTGAGGGATTAGGTTTTGATCTTCATTTCCAAGTTCATCCAGGAAGGCTTCCTCTCTGCTTCCCACCCCTGGGCCCCATAGAGCAACTTGCTCCCTGGTTCCACCAGGGGATTCGAACACTGGTCTCCTGAACCGTTTGGGTCTCATATTGGTGCAGTGGGTGACCCACAGGGCTGCTCACCGCAAGCTGGCCCTTCAAACCGACCAGAGAAGGAGGAGGCTGTCTGCTCCTGTGAGGACTCACAGCCTCAGGGACAATTCTACCCTCTCCCACAGGGTCCCCACGAGTTAAACTCGACTCCATGGCCGTGGGTTAGGGCTGCCCGGGAGATGAAGGAAGAACCAGGCCCTTCATCCCCGAGCCCTGCTGTGACGGTCCCCCACCCTCCAGAAGCAGTCAATGGAGGGATCTCTGACTCACCTGAAGGGGGCTGAGGTGGGCTCCAGGTCCTCATGAGAGAACAAGAACACGGGTCTTTTCCAGGCAGACAACATTTACGGCCAGAGTGGGCTGTGGTTCCGTCCCCGGACTCCTGGAGGAGAGGAGGTGGTTAGAAGGCGGCTGGGGGCATCAGACACACAGTCTCTCGGCTCTGGCAGGGGGTGAGGGTCTGCAGCTGCCTCTCCCCTCATCAGACCCTGGGTGTCATGTGGTACCATGCCGATTCTGACTGGTGACCGCCCGTGTGTGCGGAGAACTGATCCATGGGGTCTTCCAGGCTGTGATCTCAGGAAGCCGAGCACCAGGTCTGTTTTGGAAATGTCTCTGGGTGGGCTCAAACCACCCCCGCCTTGGCTAACAGGGGATTGCGTACGTAACCTTTTGTGCCACTCAGGATTCTCTCACCCCCTTTACAGGTCAGTGTGAAGTCCACCCCTGCTGTGTACTCTCTGTGTGTGTGTGTGTGTGTGTGTCTACTTATGCTGAGATTGGATTTGGAGTCCACTGGGAACCCTGGCGGGGTAGTGGTTACACACCGGGCTGCTAACCGACACTTCAGCCGTTTGAATCCACCAGCTGCTCGATGGGAGGAAGATGAGGCTGTTTGCGCCGGTAGATCTTTACAGTGTTGGAAACTCAAAGGGGGCAGTCTGTGAGCCGGAAATGGCTTGTGGTGCTGGGGGCGTGGAGATGAGGACAGGCGGCCTCTGTCCTCCAGGAGCAGCCTCAGGGAGAAAGCAGACATCACTCTGACAGCCATGGGGTGATCCAAAGGGGCACACTCACTGCCATCGAGTCAGTGGTGACTTAGAGCGACCCCATGGGGCAAAGCAGAACCGTCCCTGTGGGTTTCCGAGACGGTGATTCTTTACAAGAGCAGAAAGACTCAGCTTTTTCCCGAGAAGCCGATGGTTTCGAACTGCTCACCTGGCAGTTAGGAGCCCAATGGCTAACCTACAATGGATGCCATCAGGGCTGATTTGTAAAAGCTCTCAGGACAGCTTCCCGTGGGTGCTAACCAGAGCTGGGGCTGTGATGAGACTTGCGTGATGGGTGAAAGGATGGGGATGGGAAGGGAGTGCTGACAGCAAGAACAGCAAGTGCAAAGGCCCCGAGGCAGGAAGAAGACTGGTGAGGTTGTGTGCCAGGTCCAGGTGGTCGCTGGTCTAGATGGAGAGGGGTGGGGGAGACCAAGAGGACACGGGTTCCAGTGGTGCTTGGAGCGCAGAACGGACATGCCTGGGGAAGGTTGGACACAGGTGGACGTGGAGGAGGCATGAAGAATGACCTCTGGGAACTGCTGTCTACTGAGAAAGGAGCAGGGGCTGGGGTTGGCTTAGAAGGACAGCTCATGAGCTTAGACTTGACCCTGTCACCTTGGAAGTGCTTTGAGGTTGGCCTGGAGCTCAGGGACTGATCAGGGCTGAGGGCAAGCTCTGTCTTGGAGTGAGGAGGCAGGGAGAGGCAGGATCCAGAGTAGCCTTGAGCCTAAAGAGAGAGAGACACAGATGAGCACAAGTGTATCCGTAGTAGTTACCACAAACCCACTGACGACTGGTATTTCTCTGTACCTTAGTAACACGACTATGTACAATGTGGTAGCCTGCCCGTGCTGATGCCACCTTTCTCAGATGCTCACTTGCCGGAGTCCAGGTTTACTGAACGCCGCCTGATCCACAGGGAAGTCGGACAATGTTCATCGATGACCATGTGCGACAACTGAGCTATTCACACGCCCGATGTCCGCTGCGTCCCTGCCTTCAGGCTGACCACACCGACGATGGGGTCTTTAAGAGACTGATACAAACAGGCAGGCAGAGTGGGAAAGAAGAACTATTTAACTTGTGTCAGAAAGGACTTAGGACAGAGGACTTAGGACTTCCGGGGCTCTTCAGCCTGAGTGGTGCTCACTACTACCTGAGTCTGGGAGCACACCTGAGCCCTGGAGGGGGGGGGGTGTACACTTGCTATCAGGTGGGACTTCTTCCATGGACAAGCCTTTATCTCTGTCTCTTCCTGCTCATCTTTTCTCCCACCCTCGTGGGAGCAGAAGCCCCATGCCAGCCCCACAGAGGGAAACGAGGTGGCCCGAGGGGGCATCCTGTCAGCTCACACTGGGGGGAAACCTGCAGGTGAGACTCATCCCAGCTATGGTTCCACCCCCCTGCTCTCTCTGGGTTCCAAGTGACCACCCACTCCTGCCCCGGAAGGGCAGGCACACCTGAGGTGCACATGTGTGCATATAGTCATGTCTGCATATGTACATGCGTGAATGTTCCCATGCATGCGTGCATGTGTGTGCATACAGTTATATCTGCATGTGTAAGTGTGTGAATGTTCCCATGCATGTGTGCAGATGTGCCATATGTGTGCATGTGCACACACAAGCCCACATGGTCTCATATGCGCATCCATGCATGTGTGCATGCACACCTGTGCCTGTGTGTGCATGGGCACGGACATACATGTGTGTGTGTACATAGGCATAATCACAGAGCTGTCCTTTCCCGGTGTGACTCACTCAATCAGAGGGGCTGCAACACTGGGTCTAGGGCTCCCAGCAGCTCAGTGCCCCCGAAGTAGTCATAGGAGATGAAGACCCGCCAGTCGGCATTGAGGGAGATGCACATGGTAGAAGAGAGGCTGCACCCTACAGAAGCCAGGTCCTGGGGAAGGGGTGCCTAGGCCCCCAAGCAGAGATGAGGGTGGGGCCCCACGCAGCCCTTGTTGGGGGAACAGCGAAGGAGGAGGGACTCTGGGGAGCACAGGAGGACCTGGAAGTTCCTCGTTCTGACTGGCCCGGCCCGGGCCATGGCAAGGCCTCTGACCAGAGTCAGAGGCCAAGGACACGTTAGAAGTCGCTTGTCATCACCCTGGTGGCTGCCATCGAGTCTCCCTTTCCTCATGGGGGCTGGAGGGTGACAGAGTGGAACTGTTCAGCCAGGCAACCCGGTAAATCACCAGGCCTTTCATCCACGGAGCCACTGGTGGGGTTCTAACTGCCCACCTTGGGGTGAGCAGCGGGTTGCAAGAGGCTTATTCCACCCAGGCTGGTTCAAAGTGATGACTCATGAATCATCGCTTTAAGTTAATTGCTATTAAAGAATTGCTATGAATTAATCACTGCTTTTAACCCTGGTAGCCCTGGTTGGGTAAGCAGTTCAAAGTCAGCGGTTCCAACCCTCTTTCCGAGGGAGAAAGAGGAGGCTGTTTGCTCTTCTGAAGACATACAGTCTCGGAGATCCTAAATAGGGGCACTATGAGTCAAAAGCCGTTCAACATCAGTGTTTTGTTGTTGTGATGTACTGTATGGGCTGTAAATTAGGCTGCTAACTACAAGGTCTGCAGTTCAAATCCATGAGCCACTCCACAGGAGGAAGACAAGGCTTTCTGGTCCCATAAAGACCTGCAGCCTCAGAAGCCCACAGAGGTAGCTCGGCCCTGTCCACAGTGTTGCTGGGAGAGAGAGCGGATTCCATGGACGTGAGTTTGGCGGTGGTTCTGTTATGGCTGAAGCAGTGCCACTGGCACAGGGGATAAGTGCTCGGCTGCTTACTGCAAGGTCGGCGTTGTCTCCCCGCAGCCCCTCCCTGGGAGAAACAGGTGGCATCTACTCTGAAAAGAGCCCCCAGACCAAACCCATTGTGCCAATTCCGACTCACAGCGACCCTGTGGGAGATTTCCAAGACAGCCAATCTTTATGGGAGCAGACAACCTCCTCTTTCCCCCTTGGCAGGGCTGGTAGGTTTGAACCATTGACCTTGTAGTTAGCAGCACAGCGACTAACCCATAAGGGCCAATCTATAAGACTTACAGGGTCACCAGGAGTCTGAATTGACCAGACTGCAATGAGCATCCCCTGCTGTGTGCTGGCTTCCCGTGGCCTCCCTCACACTCTGTCTACCTGCAGGGCCTCTCCTTCCATTTCCAGAAGTGCAGGTAAGTCCGGGGCCTCCTGGGTGGCCGGTTTACTCCCTGACCTCTGCTGTGGGTCCACCAGGTTGGGTGTCCCCAGATCTGGCTGAATCAGCCCAGTCAGATCCTAAGTGTTCCCTAATGACTGTAAACATTGTTTTCATTTTCAAAACACACCCCGGGCTTCTCCAGCCCAGCTCGGTCTCCAGATGTGGGACACAGGGCTTTGAGGACCTGGCAGAAGCTGACTGACTTGCTGTTTCTAGTCTTTAAGACAGCGGTTGTGGGACCCTCTCCCTCCTCCTCCCTGGCCTCCACCTCAGGAGGGAGCTGGGGACCACAGGACTGAGGGATGATGGGGCACCATCAGGAGACAGGAGGGAACGCGGAGATGAGGAGGGCGACAGCTCTGTCCCCCCAGCTCCTCCTTTTGAGACCCCAGCACCCAGCTGTGCTGGGACCAAGGTGCCAGCTCATATGGGGGTGGGGGTTGGTCTCCTGATTCTTGCAATGGTGCTCAACCCCTGCCTCTCAGGCCTGGGCCAGGGGTGACCGTGGGCCCAGGCCTTTCTTTGTTGTCTGAGCTTTGGGGGGCTGCTCGCTGCCCCCAAGTCTGCTGTCTCTTGGTGGCTGTCATCCACGTCAGTGGGGCCCAAGGAGGGTGCGTGACACTGTCAGTGGGCACGCCACCCATGGACTGACTGTGACATTTTGGTGCAGTGTTCCGGCAGACACGTGTTATTTTTTAATAAATATGCTCTGGTTGTTAGTTTTGACAACCCCAAACAGTTTCCTTTTGCCTTTGGTTAGTTCAGCTTGCATCTAGCACCACACCCACAAGGCTGAAACTTGATGCTAATTTACTTAAAATTTTGTTTTAATAATCCTTTTATGGGGGGCTCTTACAGCTCTTAGAACAACCCATACATCGCTTGTATGAAGCACATTTGTACACACGTTCCATCATCATTTTCAAAACATTTTCTTTCTCCTTGAGCCCTGGGTAACTTATTTACTTTCTGAGTCTCCTAACACACGCAGGTCATTATTACTCAATTGCGAGTCACGTGGTTCTGTCTGCACACACTGTTTCCTGGGCTTTTATGGCCCTGATTTCGTCACATTTTCCGGTGCTTTAGTTACGAGTCAACATCGACTGGATGGCAGTGAGCTTTGCCTTTCCTTTTTTTTTTTTGAGTTTTGTTACATATTGTGGTAAACGGTGTTTGTGAAAAGACACCAACCGCTCTTTTTGGAGACTGAAGTCGTAAATACAGGAAAAGAAAGAGAAACATCACATAATGCTGTAAACAGTAATGCTGTGCCTTCACGCCGAGGGATTTAACAGCAGAATTTTGTTGTTAGTATTCATATTAGCTCTATCAACCTGTGTTATTCTAACATTGACTATCGACAGGATTATGGATTCCTCACAGGCACGGGAAAGTTGGACATGGATTACGATGTTGGCGAAGCATAGTGAAAGTACCACGGACTGCTAAAGGAACAAACAGCTCTGTCTTGGAAGAAGTACACCAGAGTGCTCCTTGGAGGTAAGGATGGCCAGACTTTGTCTCACGTACTTCGTGTCCCTGGAGAAGGACAGCACGCTTGGCAGAGGGGCAGTGAAAACCAGGAAGGCCCTGCAGAGATGAATTGACATACGGCTGTGACAATGGGCTCAAACAGAAGGACAATTGTGAGGACGGTGCAGGACCGGGCAGTGTTTTGTTCTGTTGTACGTAGGGCCACTATGAGTCTGAACCGACTCAATGGTACTTTAACAACAACAACGACGACGACAATAACAACAACAACGAGGGCTCCATATGGTCTGGTATGGGAGGAGGCCTGCAGGGTGGGGAGAGGTGCCATCAGTTACTGCACTGGGTGATCCCAACCCTAGCGATGTCACCAATCCACGTGGCTCCTGGCGCATCTGATATGAGATGAAGTAGCTAACCAGGCCTTTCTCCCTAGTTAGTTCTTGTATGGGTGCTCTGTTGAAACCTGTTCAACGTCATCGCAGCACACAAGGCTCCACCGGCACCCAGGTGGTGATTGTGCAGGAGATGGGTTGACTGGAATGGAACCCGGGTCTCCTGAAAGGAAGGTGGGGATTCTACCCCTGAACCTCTTCTGTCCCCTCCTCACCTCCAGAGTTCCTCCCATGGTCTTCTAGTTGATTCGGATGCGTAAGCTTTTTAGCTTCCGCTTTGTAAACAGCCTCAAATACAATTCTTCTCATCAGGTCAGCAAAGCAGGGCTCAGACAGAGGCAGGAGGAGAAGGAGAGGTCAAGGGCACGGAGGTCAATAGCGGTTCATACACAAGCCCATGTTGACAGTCACAATGAGGATGTACAGGTGGGAGTAGACACAGAGACATGGAGGTGGATCAGGTGTGGGAAAGCCAATGTGGCCACATTCATGGATACACAGAGGCTTGGCAGAGGCTCTTTCTACGAACGCATTTACCTCCGCTGCAAACAGAGCTGAGAATGGAGTAGCGCAATTCGAGGAAATGTTATGAAGATTTCTTAACGCTCCCCAAACATCTTGAGGAAATGGGACA